CACCCCAACTCCTGGCAGGCCGAGACCCCGCAGCGCCCCTGGCGATCCTATTTTGACCTCATCGTGGTAGACACCCGCAAGCCGCTCTTCTTTGCTGAGGGCACCGTCCTGCGCCAAGTCAACACGGTGGGTACCCCTCCACTGCCACAGGGCTGGCTGGGGCAGTGGGCACCATCTGGGCACCACGGGGGCTCCTGTGGGCACAGCAGGCTGGATTCACCATTGGGTGGGCACCGAGTGGGCACAGGTAACGGTACCCCCCTGTCCCTGGGTCCTCTTGTCCCGCAGGACACAGGGAAGCTGCGCATCGGGACGTACACTGGCCCGCTCCAGCACTGCGCCGTCTACTCCGGTGGTGAGCGCCCGGCCAGGATCTGTGAGCAGCAAGTGGGGGGAACGTGCCCACGCCATGGCCCTGATGTCCGGCTGTTGCAGGCTCCTCAGACATGGTGTGTGACCTGCTGGGTGTGAAGGGCAAAGACATCCTCTACATGGGGGACCACATCTTCGGGGACATCCTCAAGTCCAAGAAACGTCAGGGCTGGCGCACCTTCCTGGTGGTGCCTGAGCTGGCCCGTGAGGAACAGGTCCGGACGGCGAAGAGCTGCGGTGAGCAGTGCCCAGCCAGGGACACAGCTGAGCCCCGTTGGGGAAGGTGGCCTGGAACCTTCTACCCACCTCGATGGCAAAACCAGCCCCAGCGGGATATGCCCCTACACCCTGCGTTGGTCATGCTGGGTAGTGGGGGATGTTGCCTGCACTGAGCGGCCCTGTTGCCTTTGCAGAGCTGTTTGAGGAGCTGCGGAGTCTGGACCTCTTTCTGGCAGAGCTGTACCAGTGAGTGGGCACAGGGCAGGCAGGAGGCACTGGCAGGGGGAGCGCAGGCACCAGTGCGGGACCCCCCAGGCAAGCCCCCCCAGACGGGTCTCTCCCCCCCCAGGCACTTGGACAGTGGCAGCAGCGAGCGCCCAGACATCAGCTCCATCAAGCGTCGGATCCAGGTGATGCATGGGACACCCTTCCAGCCAGCACACAGCTCAGCCCCCAACACAGATGCCCCCCGGGGGGGCACCGCGTGCCTTGACCATCCCACTGCACCCACAGAAAGTCACGCACGAGATGGACATGTGCTACGGAAAGGTGGCCAGCCTCTTCCGCTGCGGCTCACGCCAGACGCTCTTTGCCAACCAGCTGATGCGCTACGCAGACCTCTATGCCGCCTCCTTCATCAACTTCCTCTACTACCCCTTCAGCTACCTCTTCCGGGCACCCCCAGTCCTGGTATGCAGCTCCTGGCCCCCCCCACTGTGCCTCAGCTTCCCTCCCTGCCTGAGGGGGGGTACAGAGCTGATGGAGGCATTTGGTGGG